TGGATAAAAAAATGAAATTAATGTTTGTCCTTGTCTCATTTTATTAATTTCTTCTTCTGTTGGTGGATTTACTTTACAAATAATATTTGATTTTTCATATAATTCTTCTTTTGTTTCAGCAATACGACATCCAACACTTCTATAATTTTCATCAGTACATGAGGATAATAAACCTGCTCCTGATTCTATATAAATACCATATCCTCTTGTTCTAAGTTGTTTACAAACTGATGGAACCATAGCAACCATTTTTTCTGGTATATTTTCTTTTGGAATACCAATAAATAAATCTTCAGGATCAATTTTTGTTTGAATTTCTTCTTTTTCTTGAGATAATAATCCTGTTTTTTCTGAATAATTTATTTCTCCTCCATTTGTTATTGTTATTGATTTATTTGTTAATTTTTTAATTTCTTCATTTAATTCTTCAAATCCTTTTTTACAATCACTTAAGAACATTCTTGTATTAGAATAGAAAAATAATGGATTATCTACTGCTGCATATCCTTGATTAAGAGATCTTTTATTAACTACACAAATTTTAGCTTTATAAACATCAATAATTGGCATTCCAGCTAATGGTGATGTTGGATCAGTTTCTGCTATTGGATTAACTGTATCATTTGCTCCAACAACAATTGCAACATCAAAATCTTCTAAATTTTCTATTTCTTCCATTGCAAATACAATTTTATATGGAACATTAGCTTCTGCAAGTAATACATTCATATGTCCTGGTAATCTTCCTGCAACTGGATGAATAATAAATTTTACTTCTTTTCCTGCTTTAATTAATTCTTCTGCAAGATTAGCAACTACATGTTGTGCTTTTGCAACTGCCATTCCATATCCTGGAACAATTGCAATATTATGTGCTTCCATTAAAATTTTTGCAAGTTCTGCTGTTTGAATTGTATTAGCTTCTTTAGGTCCTTCATCTTCTTGATTTTTTGTTTTATTTGTTGTTGCTCCAAATCCTCCAAAAATAACTGACATAAATGATCTATTCATAGCTTTACACATAATATATGATAAAATAGCTCCTGATGATCCAATTAATGCTCCTCCAACAATCATAGCATAATTATTTAATAAAAACCCTGATGCTGCTGTAGCCCATCCTGAATATGAATTTAACATTGAAACTACAACTGGCATATCAGCTCCTCCAATAGCCATAACCATATGCCATCCAATAAAGAATGAAATAATTATTACTATAATTAAAATTCCTCCATTAATATAAACTGAATATATTTCTAAATTATTAACAATATTTGAATCATTAAGAGTTAAATATTCAAAAATAATATATGGAATACATAATAAACATCCTAAAATAACTAATCCTCCATTTAAAAAATGTCTAAAATTTCCTCCAATAATAAGTGGTTTAGATCTAATGATTCCTTGTAATTTTCCAAATGCAACAATAGATCCTGTAAATGTCATTCCTCCTATAAATATTCCTAATACTGTTTCAAGTCCAATCATAATTAAATATGAAATTTCTTTTTCTTCTTTATATTTACTATGATCATTATTATATGTTTCTGCATCTTTTAACCAATGTGCTATTCCTACAATACTGCTGCAAGTCCTACAATGAATGAATCCTGCTACTAATTGTG